TGCCATCCGTTTTCACTAAAACCCGACTTTCTCTACGACAAATGTGGCACGTTAAACATGCACCAGGCGCCTCAAAAACAATGTATTACCGTACAGAGAGTGCCAACTTCAAACAGTCGCCATCTTGAACACCTCACGACCTTTTACACTGCTGAGCTGTTTGCGCAGATGAAAAACTTAATGTACGTAACGATCCCAGCGAATGTGCAATCCAAAGCTGAGGGTTTATGGGCTGATGTTTAATTATAGAAAGGATACTGACCGACTCATCTGTCTCGCTGTCACAAGATCACGGCATAAGTGACTGAAAGGTGTGAAGTGCTGCTGTGCAATGAGAGCTAGCTAAGCATGTAGCGGGCGGCTTCAGCGTGACAGAAGCTCACAGCGCATGCGCGGAGCTTTAAAGGACAAACATGTTTATTTGCAAGTAGCAAACAGACTAGAATTTAAAAATGTATTGGCCTATAACTGACAAATATAATTCTAAATTACATTTCAACATACATTGACGGTACACATGGCAAAAATGTACATCCTGGTAATAAAATCATCATCATCATCACCATACAATAATACAATAGTAGAAGTGTAGTAGTCTATATATGACACGCATGTATTGAATTAAATAAAACAACAACCATAATAACAATAATAATAATAATAGTTTACTGGTAAATATTATTAATTAAATATTAACATAATTAGATAATAATCATTATTACATATAGTGCAAAATATTCATGTGCCAAATTAACGAAAGTACCTGATGTGACCAACTAAGGATATAACAGAGAAAGGAACACGTCTAGAATTACTATAATTCATTTTTTTCAATTTCTCTTTCATAAAGTACAAACAAAGCAGTCTGTATTTCACTGAGCTCCTGTGTGGTTTAATTATAGCCTGTTAAGGGGCATTAATTAATGTTGTGAGGTTGCCAATGCATATCTGATTTAGTTGTTCAAGGGAGAATATTAGAGAGCTATTAGCACAATTTTCCAGAAAGGACAGCAATCAGATAAGACCTTTACAGCAACAATGAGCACTGGGGATCTGACCAATCAGAAAAAAAGTGGTCACTGACCAGGTGCAAACCCAGATAGCACTCCAGCTGCTGATATGCCTAATATACTGACAAGGTTATCTCTGCAATGAGCTCAATTTAATTCGGATTTGATCCGACTTATGCATCATGCATATACTCTCACCTCTATATCCCCTGGCACAATGCAGTAGTGGTCTGGCAAGCCCCTCTATTTATCAAAGAATCCTGACAATATATATCACCGTTTCCACATAAATATTAAGCAGCAAAACTGTTTTCAGCACTGATAATAAGAAGAAATGTTTCTTGAGCACCAAATCAGCATGAATGATTTCTGAAGGATCATGAGACACTGAAGACTGGAGTAATGGAAGACTGTTTTGCCATCACTGGAATAAATTACATATTAAAATTAATTCAAATATAAAACCATTATTTTAAATGTAATTTTTTTTTATTTTGTGTAATGTGCGTATCATAAATTGTCTTTATTAAACAATGTTTTATAAAGAGAAAAATCCTTTATAGCATATGACTTGTTCTGTTTTGTTAACTGTTAAAAATTTAAATAGAAAACAATTAAAAATGAAATAAAAAATGAAAAATGTATAGATAAAATATTATATTACTTTCATAAGGCTGAAAACGCAACCATGAGCTAAATATGCACTCCTGAGACTTCAGATAGCATTACATATTTCTCGGATGGTTGCCTTGCATTCTCAAGAAAGACCTGAACGTCTATTATTACACCATTAGGTGGAGCTATTTTCCTGCCACACAGCTTTGCACTCCTCCTACTCTTCCAGTACACAACACCAGATTTTAATGCATCTAGCATGAATCAAACATTAGTGTGTATGTGAAAATATGGTTTGAATATAGTAAATAATATTTTAGATCTTGATTAGGAGAACACATTTTCTTTATTCCAGCTTCTTAAAAAATCTTGCTTCTGCAATTTTCCTTCAAGCTTTCTCTGAAATAAAACATAGCTGAAACCAACCATTATCCTTTGTGTTGTAAATGCCTCTCCCCTGAAGCTCTGCTAAACTCCGAGTGGAAGAGAAAACTCAAGGTTTTAAATGTTGCATGCAGATGCGATGTGTTTCCCGCCCTGCACGGCGCTTACACTTCATGATCTAATTCCAAGCAACCTCCTTTAGACTGATCAAAATGTGTGTATGAAGATAAAAGAGAAGAGATAAAAATTCAGCTGAATCCTATTCCCTCTGCGCTAATAGCAGCATTACAAGGCTGTGTCTGTTTTGTTGTACTGGATAATTATGTGCAAAAGCCTTTTCATTAGGCACGGTTGAGAATAATTAAACAGACATTTTGGATAGGTCTTTTTTGCATGTGGCAGAAAGATTTCAATTATGTATGCAAAGAATCACATGCTTGCTTCTGCAATTTTCCTTCAAGCTTTCTCTGAAATAAAACATAGCTGAAACCAACCATTATCCTTTGTGTTGTAAATGCCTCTCCCCTGAAGCTCTGCTAAACTCCGAGTGGAAGAGAAAACTCAAGGTTTTAAATGTTGCATGCAGATGCGATGTGTTTCCCGCCCTGCACGGCGCTTACACTTCATGATCTAATTCCAAGCAACCTCCTTTAGACTGATCAAAATGTGTGTATGAAGATAAAAGAGAAGAGATAAAAATTCAGCTGAATCCTATTCCCTCTGCGCTAATAGCAGCATTACAAGGCTGTGTCTGTTTTGTTGTACTGGATAATTATGTGCAAAAGCCTCTTCATTAGGCACGGTTGAGAATAATTAAACAGACATTTTGGATAGGTCTTTTTTGCGTGTGGCAGAAAGATTTCAATTATGTATGCAAAGAATCACATGTTTCAAAAAAGTTGATAAAGCACACAGCCAATGAGATATGGCTGAAGCATTACTGGTTTCAGCAACATTATACATTTCCAGGAGTCTCACTACAACCCAAAAGAAAATTGCAGTTTAAAAATCTAAATATGCTCAAATATCAAATAATGTAGCAAGGCTGCACAGTGATTTTCTTATATTTCCAATTCATGTGCATATATGCATGGTATAGCTTGCTTTCGAGTTTGTGTAGAAGATAGATATCAGGGTTCCACCCAAGTGAAATCACGCTAACAAGCAGTGCAGCGTGTATTATACAGTGCATCACCACTCCATGATCCAAACTGACACTTTGGGAGCTGAGAGCCAGTTTGAGACTAACTCTGCTGGTATCATTTATTGAGAGCCTGAAGCATCTCAGTAGCAGTTCGGGCTGCTATCTCCTCTCATCCACATTCCCTTGTCTCGCAGAGATCCACACTTCAGTGCTCTGTGTATTGCTGTCTAATGATTCACGTTATTTTAATGAGTCCATGGATCACATAACTTTATTGTGCGGTGAAACTATTCTAAGGTAACAGATAATAAAAAAGAGTAGGCTTGGCCTGAAAAGAGGGTGATGATTATTTGATCGGTGTGTTTCCTGCCTTGCACTCAAGTGATGTCATGTTTTAATCCCCCTCTCCATGTGTTTGTGGGTGTGTGACTAATATGCAAAGCGCAGTATGCATGCTATATGTGCATGTGATGAAGCTGCCATTTATACTTTTGGAGCATACAATCAATGGATTGTAAATCCTATTCATATGATTGTGAACTAATTTAGTCACTGTTTACACTTTTAAAAAAATGGCATATAGGATTTAAAATTTAGAAAAATGTTCACTTTGGAATTGCTATAAAATTTCACAATTGATTACAAAAAAACAGCAAGTAACATTGAATTAAACGTGAAATTTTGAAGTAGAAAGACTGAAATTGTATTTGCTTGTAAAACATGCTCCAATAATCTTTAGTACTTTTCGAAAAATCATATTTTACAGAGCACTGAGTCATATCTCAGGCAGTGGTTGGGTTTGAGACAACATCAAAGCACCTGCCAGCTGCAAACTTGATAAATAATAACCTACAGGTACAAGGCTGGTACTTGCTGTACCCAAACAAGACCTTAATCAAAATTCTATCCATGTCTGACTAAAGTTGCACTTTTTCTATCCCTGATAATGAGTGATGTCCTCCCAGGCACCAGTAATGATGTAATCTAAATGCAACATCAAAATGAGGCATTTCTTTTCCATCACACTAGAATACAAAGGCTATATTATGTTTATGTTTGATTAAATTTTTCTAACAGACTGTTTTTACAAGAAGCCTTCATATGTTCGAGTTACCTTATAAAACGCAGTTTTCATAATTGTAAGTTACTGTGTCTGGAAAAACAACACTTGCACCTCAAGCCGGAGATGCTTGTTTCCTTGGTAACGGGGGTCTCGTTGAATTTCTCCATTGCACTTGAACGCGCCTGTTCTGGAGCTATCTACGGGTGACAGATGGAGACAAGCTCCCATTGATTATTTTTTATGAGAAAAAGCAAAGGGAAAACAAGTCTATCGACAGTTCGGCGAGTAAACGATGATCATAATGAATGTATAAGAATGACACGGATTTATCAGTTTGCCATAAACGGATTTTTCCAAAGACGCAAGCGGGGCTAACGTTACATTAACTTGTAATGTGTCATATTAAAGGAAACGAACGATATACACATTTCAATGTCACCAAAAGATTCATTCGAAAGCATAAATGATACGATTCCATAGTGAACCAGTTTGTCTGTTTAAATAGCCTACTGGTTGCCTCCTTTTTTGAGAAAATTCTGGACAAGTGATAAACAAAAATGCATGATATGAAAAAACGATCATCTTTCAGTCTATGTTTTTTATATGCCAATTGTACAACAATTTACACAAAACTAATAGTCTTCGCACATCTAACTGGTTTCGAGTGACTTACACATTAACGTTAGAAAATCCGTCCAATTAGTTCAATCACACGGCACTGTGATGACCTGAGATTTTCCACGCAATAACGCAAATGTTTTGAAGTCTGTTCGACCGTGACAGCTCCGTGATATCAGGCGTAATCTGCGAGTGCGCGCGCATCAGTGTGCAAGCTGAGTTTTCAGCACCAAGGACAGCGTCTCTCACAGAGCATCAGGTCACCCTTGCCAAAACCTTGACTACGATTCAATCACGCCAACAGCGGGACAAGTGAGCGCGGATGACTGCAACATTACTGCAAAACTGATTTTTCCACCTTCTCCCGAGAGAGAGTGCATATGTGAGGCGACTATCAACAGGAGCCAGCATCATTCTCTACAAAGGCGTGTTGACATGGTTCTTGAATATGAACGGGTTTCATGAGTGAAGCCCATTCCTCTGCGGAGTAGACTGAGGCGATCGCATTCCAGTGCTGCTGGAGAGGACGCAGTGAGAGCGGATCTGTCTAATCAACGGGCATCGACACGCATCCTCCACGGGGCACTCAGTTTGACTCTGCCATCCAGGGCAAAATGCGTCTGGTTCTGTTCGCCTTCCTCATCTCGTGCTCCTGTGCGAGAGGCGGATGCGAACCCAAGACTGTGAATATCGGGGCTGTCCTGAGCCAGAAGAGATATGAACAAGTGTTCAAAGACGCTGTCACCCAAGCCAACAATATATACGGCAGAGATAAGTTCAAGATGAACGCTATTTCTGTCACCCATAAGCCAAACGCAATCCAGATGGCACTCTCCGTATGTGAGGATCTCATCTCTAACCAGGTAACACTCGCAAACCAGTCTCTTCAACTCATGCAAATACTTAGAATATAGGCAGTTTGACGTTATAATAAAATCTTTAAAAAGAAGATATTTTGAAGTGCACTGTCACACAATGCTTTCAACGTTTGATTCCTTTAAAAACAGCACTTTTCAGAAACATCTATCTTTATTTCTTTCTATCTATCTTAATGACTACATTATATTTTTATTATATTGTTAATATTTAAAAAAAACACACACTTTCTATTGACTTATTTTGAAGTGCGAAGTCGCCAAGTCTCTGAATTTTTGACAGTATTTTTATTGGTTCTTGCAAAGAGTCCTCTATCTATCTATCTATCTATCTATCTATCTATCTATCTATCTATCTATCTATCTATCTATCTATCTATCTATCTATCATCATATTAGGTGTACCGTGTCGGATGACTCTCTTGTTAATTTAAATTGTATCATTATTTTAAAGTATAAGATATCAGTAGCCTATTTTAAATATCTTTTGATACTTAAATCAAGCTGTCATTTTAATTAATTCATTTTGATTTGATTTATTTTATTTTATATATTTATATTTTATTTTTTATATTTGTATATAGGCTATTTGTTTTGTTTGGACGAAGTGTTTCTGGTAAACGCGAAGAAATACAAAATCTTTAAAAGTCAGATTCATAAACCTGCATTCTTTCAAGAAAAGGTATTGTCAGCCAAATTTAGTTATTGCAACTTTGCATTCTGCAAAGGCAAACGCTGCTGCGAATCTCGACTTTAGAGCACATTGCACAAAAGAAAACATTCAACAGGATCGGGGTCCATTTTGACCTTACCGATGAGTGAGCATTCATTGCTGTGATGGGAAGGCTGTAAGGCTGTGTGCTCAGAGGTTACATGCACTGAACCTGAAATAATGCAAAGTAGGCTACATAGGATATGTGACAACCTGTGATTCATGTGGAGTCATATAAACAGAAATTCAAGCATAAGTAAAACATTTAAGGTAACATCACTGACCCCTCTATGAGGCGCCACGGCATCACAGTTGGTCCACCGCATCTATTTGAATGAAAAACGTAAAACGAGGCCAACATGGCGCCAGCCTCGTAGATAACAGCTGCTTTGTTCTGCGAGGAAAGCTCTAGCAAATTATTACACGGCGGTGGAGGCAGAGATTATGGACTTCAACGCTGTAACACGGATTACCATCCAAGTCACACCCGTCTAACATGCACAGACCCGAGCGTGCGCATACTGTTCATGACAACCAACTCCAAACTGCTGATGTTAGATCAACATTTTGACATTTCGCTGTCAGCTGGCTCCTCCAGCAAGGCTAAATAATTGCTTTACGTTGTAGAAATGCGTCAGTACATAGGTTACAAATTAAAACAGTTATGCATTGTGTATAACCCTCTACATTGGGAAAATGTTGGTCATTTTAATGGAAAAACACTACACATACTACAGTAAAAACCCTGACGTTAACTGCAAGTTACCTTTAGGTACAAGGCAAAACAATTTATATATATTTAACAGGACAGGACATAATGTAAAATTATTGTAACATATTTATTTAAATATTTGTTTCTTATAATATATGCTATCAGTAAAATAGCAGTAAAAAAAAAAAAGTAAAATAGCAGTAAAATAAAAATCGCGGAGCAAAGAGTAAACTGACAACGCCCCGACAGACAAGACAGAGCAGGTTACGTATAGTATGAAACAATTTGTCATTTGTCATTTTTAAGAAATTCAAACAATAAATACCGTTTTGTGTCTCTTTGATGTGTCGTGACCATAAATCGTGACAGATGTTGCGCCTCAATTCAAGCGGCACGTGAACCGATCATCTTTTCATACCTAAAGCACGAAATGAACAGGCCGTGTTGCCAATTTAGCAATTTTGTTGCTAAATTTAGCAACTTTTCAGACTACCCTAGCAACTTTTTCTTCCAAAAGCACACATTACTTTAGTTGCTATTTACAATTGTTCAATTTAATAATAATGATAATAATAATAATTGAATAATTGTTCATTTATGATACACCTTGTTAGCTTGTAGCCTACCTGCGATTGTTGATCAGTAAGAAAAATATCTAGAAAAATAGAAAAAGTACTAGAAATTTTCCATGACATATCCATTATCCGTTTTAACCCTGCAACCTGAAAACACAAAATAATGCAATGCGTAATTTAAAATGCAGGTAAAAAAAAATTGTGAGAAAGAAATTCCTTCATATTAACATAGAAGATTGTGCCCTATTTTTACAGACTCTTTTTAGAGTGTAGCACACGAACTAACTACTACACTGCTTAAAACTATAATTGTTCAGAATATGTAGTTTTACTAATTTACTAGCTCATAAAAAAACTTAAATTGTTCTAAAATGTGTGTTCAATAATTCAGTGTTGTATTTAAAAATATTAATATTAATATTAATATTATGCATTTATATTATTTTACGAACAAATTTAAATGAACATTTATCACATTTTTGCTGAGATTTGCTGCAGTGACCATTTTGCGTCATGATTACGTAATGACATAATTGAGCAATGACATCACAACATCATTTAGGAACTTTTAGCAACAAATTGACCTTCCTTTTGCAACTTCCCCTGAAAATTAGTTGTCAACACTGTGAACAGGAATGAACATCAGAACGTATTTAATTTCAAACGCGGAAAGACGTCAATACACAACATTTTTCAAGTTTATAAATTCACCAAAATTAATCTACTCTCCTGTCTGATTTGTTTGTCGGGCAAGATGGCGGATTTAGCGTTATGATTGGTCAGATCGCCTGTCAATCAAGCCAGCTGACTGTACATTATCCCGCCTATCATACTATCATACACACCAAATAAAGAAATACATGGCAAGACATTTTGATTTGAATTTTGAAATTTTACCTGTATATTGTCTTAAAACTTCCGCTAAGAACATTTCGCTGATTTTCTCTGAGGTCATTTTCGCGCCACTACGAAACGAGAGAGCACGTGATCCTAAAGGCGTGAAAGTGTTTTTTTCCCCCAGTTACCCGGATGATCGACTGCGTCCATGCCTGATAGTGCCCTGCGAAGTGGACTTCACTCCATATTAAATAAGATTCCAAATTATATATATTGTTTAGCTCAGGCACTGCACACTGTATAGGGAAGAACATGAATACATCGCTTCAAAAAAAGCAAATAATGACATTTACCAACCTTTCATCGCAACTGGAGTTTCATCTGTGCTCGATGACGCTGTATTTCAAGTGAACTTCGACAGATGCCCTGCTTCTAGTGAGCTTTGCAGTAAATACTAAGTAGGGACCCTGTGAATTTGCAACGCAGTAGCCACAATTGACCAGTCAGAATCTAATAAGTCATGTAATATTCAGAGGCGGACAGTAACTAAGTACATTTACTTGAGTATTGTACTTAAGTACACTTTTTGAGTATCTGTACTTTACTTGAGTATTCATTTTTCTATAAAACTTATGACTTTAACTTCACTACGTTCAAAAGGCAAATATTGTACTTTTCACTCCACTACATTTCTATCAAGGTCCTCAAAGTAGAAAGTCTTTAGCAGCTTTGAAAGTCAGTGGGTGATTTTTTCTTCCCTAAAAGCTGTATTTTTTTTCAGACAGTTTATCAGTAATCACTCTTGTAGGGCTACATGAAGTGATTACCCAGCTGCACACTGTATAGGGAAGAACATGAATACATCGCTTCAAAAAAAGCAAATAATGACATTTACCAACCTTTCATCGCAACTGGAGTTTCATCTGTGCTCGATGACGCTGTATTTCAAGTGAACTTCGACAGATGCCCTGCTTCTAGTGAGCTTTGCAGTAAATACTAAGTAGGGACCCTGTGAATTTGCAACGCAGTAGCCACAATTGACCAGTCAGAATCTAATAAGTCATGTAATATTCAGAGGCGGACAGTAACTAAGTACATTTACTTGAGTATTGTACTTAAGTACACTTTTTGAGTATCTGTACTTTACTTGAGTATTCATTTTTCTATAAAACTTATGACTTTAACTTCACTACGTTCAAAAGGCAAATATTGTACTTTTCACTCCACTACATTTCTATCAAGGTCCTCAAAGTAGAAAGTCTTTAGCAGCTTTGAAAGTCAGTGGGTGATTTTTTTTCTTCCCTAAAAGCTGTATTTTTTTTCAGACGATTTATCAGTAATCACTCTTGTAGGGCTACATGAAGTGATTACCCAGCATTTTTTGAGCACTGACCAGTTCCAAGTGTGATATTTATTTACAACAATTCAATAATACACTTTTTGAGTATCTGTACTTTACTTGAGTATTATTTTTTCTGGGAACTTATGACTTTAACTTCACTACGTTCAAAAGGCAAATATTGTACTTTTCACTCCACTACATTTCTATCAAGGTCCTCAAAGTAGAAAGTCTTTAGCAGCTTTGAAAGTCAGTGGGTGATTTTTTCTTCCCTAAAAGCTGTATTTTTTTTCAGACAGTTTATCAGTAATCACTCTTGTAGGGCTACATGAAGTGATTACCCAGCATTTTTTGAGCACTGACCAGTTCCAAGTGTGATATTTATTTACAACAATTCAATAATAAGAAGTTAATATTGTGGTTTATATTAGACACGATATTGTCAGATTTTGCTAAATTGTGTAAGTGAAAATATTACCTATAAAGCCACAGAAGAACTGTTGTGCGTCTCCTAATAAAACACAA